TGGCTTAGTCACATACACCTTGCGCTCTCCCTGCAACAAGGACAAAGACGCAGTGAAACATGCGGATGATGACGTCGGCACCCAGAAGCGCACCCAGATGGTAAAGCACCGAAGGGAAGGAGAAAATGAAAACGGTGGACAAGGGGATGGGCGCACTGGGGGCCATCAGCTGACCTGGTACAGCATGGCCATCCTGAGCCAAAGCGAGCAGTGTTCCCGGGTGAAGACGTTGACTGAGACTCCGAATGTGTCAGCATCTTTGGATCTAACTGCACACCCTCCACAGATTTGAGAACTCGCATTGGGCCGGAATTCTCGCTCTCCTTGCCTTGGAATGATACTGCATGTGATACCAGCTTTCTAAGATCCGTTCTCTCCTCTCACCAGGAAAGGTTCTCAGGTTCTGGGTTACCTCCAGGGGCTGATTATTCAGAAAGGAAGGTAAGCATAGGCTCACTTGTGCTTACTAATCAGTAGGGAACCATGCCACACGTTTTTCTACTACCTCAAAGATTATCCATAAAGGAAATGGCCACTACACATGTGTAAATAAGCACAAGTAAACCTGTGCTTACCTTGCTTACAGGTTACTCTGTTCATGCGGGGGACTGTACATTTGTGAAGAGGCTTTTTGATTCTATAGGAAGGTGCTGTGGGTTAGAGAGAAATGCTAGCCCTACCTAAAAGTGGAATCTGTGGTGGAAAATGAGAACTTGTTCACCACGGATCAGTAGGTAAATACAAGTAAGCCCGTGCTGACCTTGCGTATCGGGTAAGTTGACGCTGGCTACCTCCACGAAATGATCGTCATGTCACCCACTTGTGGGTCTAGCCCAAGGCGACCATCAGCATTGAGCTCTGCTTCTCAGACGGCCAGGATTGACTGTGAGAGCCGCTAACTGATCAGGTTAAATTCATTAATGGTCTTATAATAATGAGCAATCCCTAGCTTAGGAACGAGAGACTGTTGAGTGTCCTAAGTCCCAGCAGCAACATTAGCGGGCACAAACATCTCTTGGGAAGCTGCTGACAGGATTCCCAGGATCCACTCAGAAAGAGCCGGAAGGGGTAGTCCTAAGGTGGGCGTTTCACCAGCATCCTAGACGATTCTGATTAATGGTCGCTGGGATCCTGGGGGAGGAGTGCAGCCCTGCCTTGGCAGGGCTGATTGGTATCACACTGGGGGGTCTCAGTGGCTGTCAAAGCTGGGGTGGGACTTCCTTGATGTCCTGCAGCTGTTGCCAGAAGCCTAATCTCTAGGCTGGCTGCTCCCTGCCAGTCTTCCCTGTCTCCGTCTATGGCAGCTCCACCCTCCCACTTTTTCACACCAAAAAAATGCAAACATCATCTCGGACGCCTCTCTTACACCACACAGTTCAACACCACGCGCCCTTGTGGCTCCACCTTCAGAACATTCCAGATCTGGTTCCTTCTCATCTGCTCTACCACCACGTCTGACTGCTGTGGCAGCATCTTTCTTTGTGTATCATAAATCAGGTCTTGTCCCTCAGCAGCCTTTCCAGTTTGAAGCAGCCCTGGTGACACGGTCCGGTGAACGTTGGAATACTAACTATAAGGTTGGCGGTTCAAACCCACCAGCCACTCCACGAGGAAGCTGTTCGGTAAAAGTGTATAGCCTTAGGAAACCCTAAATAGAGTCGTAATCAACTGGATGACCGTGGGTTGATGATAGTTTCAGATTCATAATAGCCTTTCATGGGATTCTCACCATTTGTTACCTGTGTTTTTTTGTTCTTGGGGGTGGGAGGGATGTGGAGTAGAAAATTAGTCTACATTCCAATCGACTTGTAAACATCTCAAGTTTGATTTGTATAATGCCAAGTGAAGGACTCCATCTCCCTCTCCCATAGACAAGGATGGCTAACGTGTCGCTTTTCCGTTCCATTAACCTAAGTCTCCGTGTCTGTTGTTGCTCCTGCTTCACAGTCCGCTCTTAGGACGGGAGGGAGGTCTAAGCACGAGCCTTCCCAGAACAGCTCACATCGAGGGAATCCAAGACAGATCTGCTCCCACTCGGCTCGGACGTGTGCTGACCCTGCATGACAGTCGCTCTGCCACAGAGCGTCCTCGGGGCTGCAGATCTTCTCGGCCCCTCTCCAGGGGAGAGGCGGGTGGGCTGAAGCCCACCGACCTTTTGGCTAGCCGCTGTGCCACCAGGACTCCGCGAGGGCAGAACAGGGCAGCTGCTCCGTTTTCTTTGTCCTTGGTTGTCCTAAAAAGCACACCCTTCAGTTCCACGTTGAATGGCCGCTTGGTCTTCGTGTTGAGCCATGTGTTCAGAATAAATGTGATTTGAGTGTGATCCGGTGGTGAGGCAGGGGGCTGAAAGCCATCCTGGTTTTAGACCGGAGGAGGCTGAGGCCAACAACAGTTTCTGGAAAGCCGCTGGAGCAATTGTTGAAACTGGGCTGCGGAGCCTCCTTCCCTTGTTTTCGGAGTGTTAGGAGGTGCGCAGGGGTGGGCGTGAACCCCTGGAGCTATGCTTCTTGACACATTCTCCCCAGCATTCTCCCCACCCTCAGCCCCACCTTGTTGAGTCTTCCTAAACTGGAGAAAACAGTTCTTGACACACCCAAATTACATTCATTTCTTTTTACTCAAAAAAGTCTCCTCCCTTTTCGTAAACCAAGAATAGAAAAAGTCTTTATGCAAAATTTTCCCCATGGCAACAATTGATATTTTTACCATTACCTACTCCTGTTATTTCTGCCTAGGATCCCTGGTAGTACAGTGGATTATGTACTGGTTGGCTAACTGTAGGTCAGCAGTTCAAGATCACCAGTTGCTCCACAGGCGAAAGATGAGGTTTTCTGCTCCCATAAAGCGCTACTCTCAGAAACCTGCAGGGCAGTTCAACTCTGTCCTCTAGGGGCGCCATGAGGGGGGAAGGGCTGAGTGGCAGTGAAGCTTTCTTTTTAGGTTTTGTTTGAGTCTTTGTGGTGGTGGTTTTGTTTTGCCTTGAGTTTTGCCACTTTCCTGTCCACTATTCAACATTATGCCAAATTTCCTATTGATATCAAAATGGAATTTCTCATCTGAGCCATCTAGGCCCTGTACCAAATCTTGAGTCAATGACTTGATTTGTACTAGGTGCCTAATCAGATTTTCCACTGGAGGAAAGTTTACTCGTCCTGCCAACCCCACTGCTTGATGCTTCAAGAACTCAAGAACTAGAGCAGTGGTTCTCAACCTGTGGGTTGCAATCCCTTTGGGAGTCGAACGACCCTTTCACGGGTCGCCTGATTCATAACAGTAGCAAAATTACAGTTTGAAGTAGTAACAAAAATAATTTTATTGTTGGGTCACCACAACATGAGGAACTGTATTAAAGGGTCAAGGCATTAGGAAGGTTGAGAAGCACTGAACTAGAGGAAAGTTGTATGTTTCATTGGTGCTATACTGCACCCTGATTGGCTCATCTCTTCCTTGTGACCCTTCTGTAAGGGGATGTCCAGTTGCCTACAGATGGGCTTTGGGTCTCCACTCCACACTCCCCTTCATTCACAATGATACGATTTTTTTGTCCTTTGATGCCTGACAACCTGATCCCTTCAACACTTCGTGGTCACACAGGCTGATGTGCTTCTTGCATGTGGGCTTTAAAGGTTACCTTTCACTGTTATGTTTTCACTTGATGATACAAGAATTTCTCTTGATCGGATCATTGGAGATATGCCGCTATATCCTCCCCATTAATTTGCTTGCTTTCTGTTCTCACTGGACTCAGGAGTGAGTGAATATTGGTGTTTCATGTTCTATTCCCTCCCATTTCCTTCTTTCAAACCTAGACCTGGAGCGTGACTGCCGCTCACTGAGGGCAGAGTAGCTTTCTTCCTCTGAAGCGGCACTGGACACCAGCAGTCCGTGTCATCAGCATCCTCCCGGATGCTCCAGCTCCTGCCAGCTCTAGGGGACCTGGAGGCTGAGGTGTGTGCAGCCACTTTGCCACCTTGTGGTCATGCTTGGGATCAGCAGCCCCCTGTGTCCTGGGAGAAAACACTCTCTTCCAGCCATGGGATGGACCACCTACCATCTCACTGACCATTTCCCTTAGGGCAGCGGTTCTCAACCCCTTTGGGGTGGTTGAACGACCCCTTCACAGGGGTCACCCGATTTATAACAGTAGCAACATTACAGTTATGAAGTATCAAGAAAAGTAATTTTATGGTTGGGGGTCACCACAACATGAGGAACTATATTAAAGGGCCGAGGCATTAGGAAGGTTGAGAACCCCTGCCTTAGGAAAATGACGTGCTGCAATTCTCTTGTGTGTTTACAGTACCAACGACTTCTTTCTTTCTCTTTTATTATGATTATTTTAAATGAGCAATACTGAAGCCTCCCCTTGCTCTACGCTAACTGCCTAGGGAACTGGAACTGTCCCAGACTTGTCATACTACTGCGTGGGGATTCTGCGGGTGCCATAGTCCACCTAATCAAGCATGTTCTGTAAGCTGTTTGTCTGCTCTTTAAGGCTTCTATACATCTATGTATATATAGACATATATTTGTGAGAAAGTAATACATCTATTCTAAGTTCTAAGAGAAGAATTAATATAAAGACCTCACTTGATAGTTTCCTCTACTTTTGCCTCCTTTCAGGAGGTTGTTGCTATTTGGATGAGTCACAAAATTGCTAATATTTTACTATTTTGATCTAGAAATCTGGCAGTTTCATTTCAGCCTAACATACACTTAGTGGCTGGCTTTCATTTACAGCACTCTAGCCTCTGCTTAGCTCACCAACTGTAAAATCAGACCCATATGGAAACAGTAAGCAGCCCTCGTTGCCAGAAGGCAAAGCAATTTCATTCCCCCTGGGTTGAATGTTATTCCTGTCTCTTCAGCATCAAAACCTATTTGTTTATTGCAAATCTAAACTGATTTTATGGTGCAGACGCCGTGCCTATGATGCAGCTTGGCAGCGCCAGTGGTGGAGTCCCTTAATCCTTTTAATGCACGTTTGTTTTATGTTTCAGTCTTCAGGTACAATGGTGCCAAGGAGACCTGCGAGCAGAACCACAGGCAGTGCTCGCAGCATGCCTTCTGCACCGACTACACCACCGGCTTCTGTTGCCACTGCCAGTCCAGGTTTTACGGAAATGGGAAGCAGTGTCTGCCAGAAGGTGATTGGCAGGGGGCTGGGTGGGGGCTGTTCTGTGGGCATTCCTGCAGCAGGCTTGTTTTCAGCCACGCTGTTGGTTGACCTGGGACCCTGCTCCCTGATCAAAGAACGAGCCACACAGAGGTGCTCAATACATTTGAGGACTAAACATATTTGGGCTGATTGCCCGATTTGAGCATTGTCTTGAAATGTTCCCCACTTTCCCCCAGCTCAGTTAGAGCCACCTCTGAGAGGAGAGAGAGAAGGTGGGAGCAAAGGGAACACGGAGTTGCTCTGTAGCTAACCAATCGGCTCGTGAGAGAGTGGGTCTTGGGAATTGTCAGTGGGATTGTTTGACTTGTGGGCTTCCACCGCCACCGATGAGTGTATTTGCTGTCATTTAGGGGCGCCTCATCGAGTCAATGGGAAAGTGAGTGGCCACCTCCATGTGGGCCACACACCTGTGCACTTCACCGATGTGGACCTGCACGCTTACATCGTGGACAATGACGGCAGAGCCTACACAGCCATCAGCGACATCCCAGAGCCCGCGGCCCAGGCCCTCTTGCCCCTCACCTCCATTGGAGGCCTGTTTGGCTGGCTCTTTGCCTTAGAAAAACCAGGCTCAGAGAACGGCTTCCGCACCGCCGGTGAGTGGGGAGCTTAGGAGGGCTGATAATCCAACAGTGAGTCAATGGCTCCTTGGGCCTGGTCTGGGCCTTTATATAGTGAAGGAGGGGGCTTAGTGAGTGTTTTGTGTCCTAGAGCTACAGGTGCCTCGATTTATATCACAGTGTGTAGAGGTGGTTTGGCTTTCTTTGCATGATTGACCATGCTTTCTTCCAAATGTTCTCCAAGCTGCTCGGAGAAGCAGGAGTTTTTATGTCCTTTCATGCCCATGTGTTGAAATGTATTGGCCAGACTTTGCTTATGTTATGCACAGACATGTCAACAGGCACGCAGTCACCTTCGGGGCACCTGGAGGAGCTCTAAAGAACCCCTGGGGCACTGGGTTAGGTATGAGCTGCTAACTGCAAGGTCAGTCAGTGGTTCAAACCCACCAGCCACAGGCTGTACGATGCAGTTTTGCTTTATCCTCCCAGGTGTCTGGGAGTGGGAATCAACTCACTGGGGCCGTGGTGTTTCAGCAGAGCTGTGGTGGGGCAGTGGTTAGGCACTTGACTGCTAACCCAAAGGTCAGAAGTTCAAAAGCCACTAGCTACCCTAAAGGAGCAAACAATCACACTCTTTCTGTAGAGGTTGGAGGCTGGAGACCCTAAGGGGCAGTTAGTTCTACTGTTCTATGGGGTCCCTATAGATTGGAATCGATTTGAGTGGCAATGAGTTTAATGAGAGACGAATATACTTGGAGGGAAAGAGACTGGCTTCCCCACTTTTGTGCCCCTTGTGTCTCTGGCTTAGAACACCTGACAAGAGTTTAAACTGCACATAAATAAATCCCCTGGGGGTCTTGTTGTAATGCAGCTTGATTTGGAAGGCCCAGGAAAGGGTGCATGGGTCTGCATTTTCAACAAGCTCCGTCCAAGGACCACCCTTTGATAGCGAGGGTGTATAGGACAGTTCATGGTTTCTCCAGCGCCCTGCCTGAAAAATCTTATTTCCTGGTGAATTTATCTTTTTTAAAAAATTATTTATCATTTTATTGGGGGCTCTTATTACAATCCATACATCCATTG